CTCGTCTCTGCCGAAGTCATGTTTGTCGGTATCGGCATCGCCTTTGCCTACTGGTGGGATTTCGCCTTTAGCTACGTCGGAGGTGCATTCGCATGGAGATGGCCCCTCGCCTTTCAAGCAGTTTTCGCCCTCTGGGTCATCGTGGTCGTCTTTGGTATCCCAGAATCACCCCGTTGGCTCCTCAACCACGGCAACCGAGAAGAAGCCATCAACGTGCTATCCGCCGTTTACGACAAACCAATCGACCATCCTGACATTCTCCGAGAAGTCAATGCCATCGAAGCAGCTCTTTCCATGGAAGCCGAGGCCGAAGGCAGCACATCATGGGCATCCACCTTTCGCAACGACAAAGTCAGCACAAGATATCGAGTCTTTCTAGCTTGGTTCGTGCAGTTTATGAATCAAATGGGAGGCATAAATTTAGTCGTATATTTCATCTTGAGTAGGTGCGACCCTGTTTGTTGTTTATGAAGTTATTTCTAATGTTTGTGAAGCTGTCTTGACCGACAATGTTGGTCTTGAACATCGACTCGCCCAGATCATTGCCGGATGTATTCAACTCATGTTCCCGATTGGTTCACTCCTTCCCTCTTTGGCTCTTGACCGTATGGGTCGTCGGTCAACAATGATGTGGGGATCAGCAGGCCTTTGTGTGTCGATGCTCATGGTTTCTGCTCTCTTGTCGCAGGCTGATGACACACCTAGAGGAAAGGCATTTGCCTCTGGGTCTATTTCCTTTTTCTTCACTTATATGCTCATCTTTGGAGCTAGTATGAACTGTGTTCCTTGGGTGTATGTTCCTGAGATTCTTCCTCTTCATGCTCGAACTAGAGGAACAGCTATTGGAGTGAGCTCAAACTGGCTCTGGAACTTTACAGTTGTGAGTATTTGAGACAATACTCCTTTAAAAATTGAAGCTAACGATATAAATAGGTCATGATCACTCCAGTCATCATCAACCGTCTCAAGTGGAAGGCCTACCTGATTTTCACGGCAACTAACCTAGTCTTTGTCCCCATCATCTACTTCTTCTACCCCGAAACGTCGAACCTTGCTTTGGAAGAGGTTGACTATATCTTTGCTCGTGGAGAAAATGCTGTGGAAGTTGCTCGAGAAATGCAAAAGGAGCTCGCTAGGGAGGGACGTCTGGATGTTGAGAGGTCCTTTGGTGGAAAGACTGAGCCAGGTGCTTTTGTTGATGGAACAGAGAAGCAGGCCGAGACTGTGGAACATGCCAGCCCTTGAGTCTTGGGCAAGGGTAGCTGGGTCTCTTTAACTCTGTAAGAAAGTTCTTAAGGGTTACTGATGAGGATTGGGTCGGAAACAGCTGAAGGTTCTCTGGGCAGCCAATGACCAAGCGAAGTTAACCTAGTTTATTGTTAGGTACACAGTTGGGGTTGACAGAAAATGTCATCTATCATACCAAACTTCTTCAGTAAGTGACAACTCTATAAGTAGAGACATAGTAGAACATTATAATTTGTGGACGTGGCGATGTGGACGAACCTTCATGGGCTAATGATGTCACCCAACTGTCTAATCAAGCAATTGTGGTCTCATAAACGGACCTTTGCAGAAGATGAGTGTGTCTGGATTAAGGACTTCATGAGCCGCGTCCGTGATGCGCCTATGACCCTTTAATACATGCCGGCTATTATGTTGAAGAGCTTTTAGTTATGGTGACCTTGTTGGACTGATGCTTGTGTTCTTAGCGTTGGGCTGTCTTGATCCATCATTGTTCTATACGTAGCCGGTCCTTGATGGGATAACTGAGCCAGAAGATTGTTCTAAAGGTAGAGTAGGTAGAGTGGAAAAGTGATCAAGGACTCCGTATATCTACAACTTATCACGTTCGCCAATCATTGACTAAACACCAAGGGCAGATATACTTAAACAATGTCATTCCATAAACACTAAACTATGCAATAGCTAACAACTCAAAATGTCGCGTAAATGATGCAAACTCTAATGCACATTCTTTTCCCCCTCCTGTATCACTTAAACGGGAAGAACAACCTTGACACCCATGTACTCCCGCTGATGCATAAGCTTGCCATCAATCAGAACCTGATCAGCACCGATTCTGTTGCGAACAGTATCTGTAGGGTCTGTAACAGTCGAGATCTGAATCTCTCGCCATTGACGGTTTGTAGGCACAAGTTGACCCTCGGAGGTTCGCTTCTTGAATTCGGAGTAGACGCCTTGGTCTTCGACGCAGCCTTCGCGTTGGATGAGGGGAGAATCTGGAGGTCAAGTTAGTATGTGTGATGAGGATATTGTTGTTAGGGAGCTTACCTTTGGCGGGTGTCATGCGGAGATCGCCAACGGAGCTGTTGAATAGCACAAGAGAAAGACGCTCTTGCTGGCGCTGGTCGATAGGAGGCTTGAAGACACGGTGACGAGTAGCCTTGAAGTGACCACCAGAAACAATCTCAAGAGTATCACCAATGTTGATGACAAGAGCACCAGGCTTGTAAGGAACATAGTACCACTTCTCATCCCGACCCCAAATCTGAAGACAAGAGATAGGCACAGAGAACAAAAGAGTTGTCAGACCAAAGTCTGTGTGTCCATGCATACGTAGACCCTTGGAAGCCTCCTCGGTGGTCTTTTGCACAGGTCGGAAGAGAGCGTGGCGGAAGTATCCCTCGCCGGTTGGGCTGCCGTGGGATTGGACATTGTCCCAGAGGTAATCGTCGGGGAGCTCGAGGACGCGCGAGAAGAGGGTTAGGAGACGGCGGTTGACGGACTTTGTTAGGTAGTTGGCAAAGGCTTCGATCTCGTCCATGAAGGGGTGGAGGCACTTGGGGACTCGGCCGTTGGCGTCTTCCCAGTCGGGCTTGTACCAGTTGAACTGCTCGATACCATCAGGGGGGCCACGCTCGCGCTGGAAAAGATAAATGTTAGTGTCGGCGCATTGGTGTATGCAGAAGGGGCGTGCGTACCTTGAAGCCATAGGGATGCTTGTAGCCGGACCAAACACCGGTCTCGGGGTGGAAGAGCAGGCGCTCCTTGTCCTCCTCGGTAATGTTATGGTACATGTACTGCGCAATAGCGAATTGACGGTGGAGCTATACCTTGTCAACAATCACAAACTCTTGCCCAATGCTCTACCACATACCTGCTCTAGCGAGATACCATAGTTCTCAAGAAACAAGAAGCCATCATCACGAATAGCCCTCTTGACCTGCTTGATCAAGTCCTCAACAACAGCAGGATCCTCAGAGTCAAGCAGAGAAAGGTCAATGCTCGTCAGCTCAGCAAAGTTCTCCTTCTCCTGCGTTACAGGAGGGGGAACCCATTCAGGAACGGTGGGCTTGCCGGGGAGGGCGGCGGCGGGGGGGTTGAAGGGTGCGGCGTGCGGCGGGAGCCATTGCTGCTTGAACTTTGAGGGAGTTGTGTGACTGATTGATTGATTGATTGATTGATAGAAGAGGGTGTGGATGGTTTGGTTTGTTTGATGCTAGAGATAAGATGGTTGAGTCGTGTTCTTCTTATACATCTATGAGCTAGAGACGGAATTAGACAAGCCGTCAGAAAGCTTCAAGTCTAGCCGACTCCTCGGATTCGAGCTCCGCCACCAAACGAAGCAAAGAAAAGAGCATGTAAGCCATAGATCCGGTAATTCCAGCTAACCGGGTCGCGTGTGCAACTCCCCCTCTGCTACATTGATCGGCATCCAATACCATCTCCGACGCATTTGCTTTTTTGCTCACTCCTCCAATGCCGAACCAACCTCCTCCCCCAATGTCCATCATCTAGATCCTCCTCCCGTATCTATCGCCCCCTCCGCAATCTCTCCTCCTCCCTCCGCCGATGATCTTGCGTATACCTTCCAGAAGCGGTTAGTTCGCTCCGGCCCCCGGAGAATGGGAGGAGCTCCTCCCGGACCCCAGACTACGGGCCCGCTGTGAGCTCCTCCGAGATAAGCCACCAAGATCCAATCGGTAGTCGACCGATGTAGATTTAAAAAAGACGACAAAACGGACAAGGGGGACTCTTTTCTTGTTCAGCATTCTAGACCATCTTACCATTATCACGCATTCATCGTACCACCTTCACACCCTTTCACCTCAGCAACCATGTCGCGCCAACTCATTTCCAGCGAGAAGTTCCCTCCCAAGCCCCACAACTGTAAGTCAAAGTGTCTTGGCTCTCTTGACGGGTTCGCTAACATTGTCAGGCCCCGCTACCAAGGTTCCGGGTCTTGTGTTCTGTGCTGGCCAGACTGCCACCGGAGAAATCAAGCAAGCCACGGTACGTCTTTACTTGATCACCTCTTGAACAAATCACTGACTTGATCCAGAGAACCGTTCTTCAGAACCTCAAGGAAGTCCTCGAGCTCGCAGGATCTTCCCTTGAGCAGGTCGTCAAGTACAATGTCTACCTCGCCGACATGAAGGATTTCGCCGCTATGAACGAGGTTTACATTGAGTTCCTGCCCAAGCCTATGCCCTCGCGATCTTGCCTCCAGGCTCTTCCCCCTGGTGATGGTACTGTTATTGAGATTGAGTGCATTGCTCAGGCTTAGAGTGTTGGAAATGCATAGAGTAAAAGATAGAAAGGAATGCATCAATGTTTTTCGTCACAATCGTCACATGCCGTCTCCCATAATTATTTTCTGTTACTATTATAAACCACCATGTCTCTGTGATGAGACCATGAGCCCTGCAGGCTCTCTCGCGATCAATGAGTTCCCTGCCTTGTTGATGCCATTGGCTATCGATGCATCATGACACCCTCGCCGTTATGTTCGATTTGTAGTCGCCGAAAGAGAAAGCAGTCTGTCAAACGCCCGAAACTTATTAACAGAAAAAAAAGGAGAGATGGCAATGTCTTCATCAGATAATACAAAAGAGATACAGCTTTGTCATAAAGTTGGTGGAATAAAAAAACACATGTTTTGCTCTCTCCAAAGTGGCCTCAACTAACCTATACTACATGCTGGGAACCCTTTATGTAGTGCAAATTGGACAGATGCATAACACAAGCTTAGTAAGGGTCCTATTGTTTAGTGGTTATGACGTCGGATTTTGATTTCTCTCAAAAAGCCTTCCGAAGACCCCGGTTCGAACCCGGGTAGGACCTCATATTTTTGCCTTCCCATGGTTGGCTCAGTTGCGCTTCACAGCGTATGTCAATCATGGAAAACGGCATGTTTTCTTTTTACCCTTCCCAGCCCTATTGGTTGCATATTTGCACGAGAGATAATCGCTCAGTGCTCGTGAAGCATGGTCTAAGTTTGGAGGAACACATTCCAATCCAATGTCTCTGTACTTGGGCAGCACCCCTGCGACCGATCAGGCCATTACTACGGCTCCATCGGAGGATAAACGCCCCCTGTAACCCCCGGAGACCCCCGTCCCATGCCTTTTTCACAAGGAGCTTGCCGGTGACATGAATCGACCGAATTTTCTGGTCTTTCGTTCTTTATGTTGTACATTTAAGTTCTGATGACCTACTTCTGTAATGAATCTAAGCATCCCATGATAATCTTGCCTAATTGCCACCTCTGCCTCCGTCCGAATACCTTCCTCGCCCACGCCAATGCGCCCTCAGCGTCTCCATCCTCGACCCCCACGACTTGCATTGAACCCAACATGCTCCCCCGAATCAGTTGCCAGGCAATCATGAACGCCTTGTACGCATACAACGTTATCCACGGTGCCTCGGCGTCTGGCTCAATTGTCGCGTCGAGATAACGCAAGAACCAGTCGACATGGGGCTGGATTGTCTTGGCAGTGTTGGATTCACACAGAAACTCGCAAGACGGCGCCAGGTAGCTCAGCTGATGAAGCACCGCATCCATGCTTCCTCCCACGATACCCCCGGTATGCGACGGAGACCATATCTGCACCTCAATCATGGCCGACTCCCATGTCGCTTCACATAATGCCGCATGCGCTACGTCTGTCGAGTCGGGTTTCGAACGGATAAAAGGACCGAGCGCCAGGAGGGATGATCGGAGAGGCTCGAGTCGTTCTGTGCTGAGCATTCCCGTCATTGTACACCAACCAGAGATCTCTTGTGCGCTCGAGACGAGAAAGTGAGTAATGTTGATAGCACCGTACGGGTCAAATGCTGGGAGAGAGCTGAGATCTGCACCTGACAGGAAGCGTCGAACAGCATCCGGATATTGGACCGACGTGCCAGAATTCCCTGCGACCAATTTTCGATGCGCCCAATCGACCGAAGAAGAAGCTGTCCAGTGGTCTTCTGGACATGGTAACTCGTGTTTGATCTCCAAGTGTGAGAATTGGCGAGGGATCGACAAGAGCTGGTACCACAAGGTATCAATCTGGTGAGCAGCAAACAGTGTCCGCTTATGTGATTCGGCCCTGATAAATTCCCGCCATAACGAGTCGAGGTCCTTGGTCGTCGTTGGTTCCGTCGGTATCGGTTGCGATAGTCCGCTGGCTCGAGCAAGAGATATCATCTTGGAGTGCGTCTTGAGAGCATACGCCGAGTTGTTTCCGCAGAGATACATCATGGCGTAGATCTGGAGCAGCAAGTATGCCTGGACCATGGAGACATTATGTGCCGGATCATCTGTCTTGTCCTCATCGGCGAGAACGACAGTACGCGCTCGATGGAAGCATCGCTCGGATAAGCTCACCCCCGATCCCGGTTGTCCAACGCAATCCGGGTCTTCGCCATACTGGTAGGCGATGCAGAGCATGCTAAGTAATAAGTGATTGGAGATGTGTGCGGCGTCAAAGGTAGGTTGGTGGAGGAAGGGGACGAAGTGGGAGACGTGCGTAAAAAAGAGTTGGCAGCCGTGTGCAATTTGTGAAGTTGAAGGTGACCAGTCCTCCTGGGCTTGTGTGATGTCAATTGATCCGTATAATAACCTCTCGGGGCTGCCTTGGTCGAAGCTGAAGCCGAGGATGTTGGTGCCAAACGGAGCAGAGTGTGGAATGGCGGAAGCGTCCATTTGGACATTGCTGGCGTGTTCGAGAAAGTCGGCACCCAATAATTGCAGGTCGGCCGAGCCTTGGACGATGGAGGCGATGCATGATGAATCGCTGATGGATGTTGGTAATGTCAATGGAGCCGTGACAGTCTGTGTGTGATCGCCTTCGGCAGAGGCAACGCTGGCAGCGACGGCAAGGTTAATCGCCTCTGGGTTCTGGTCATTCTGATCAAGCCATATCCCACTGTCCATCTCCAAATCATCTTGGTGGCTCTGCGCAGGCGAAGCAGACGATGCCTTGTCGCCTTGAGATCTCCCATCACCCCCCTGCGAAGGCGGCGTCGGAGCCTGCAGGTCTCGTTGTCGCTTCCCCTTGGAGCGCTTCTCCAGATGACCCATGTGCTTTCGCTTCATGTGGCGATGACGTAGATCGGGACGGGAAAAGGTGGCAGAGCAAAGTTCGCAAGGGAGAGAGGCCTCGCTGGGGGAGCGCGTGTGAAGAGCAGCATGACGCTTCAGGTTCTCATGGCGGGTGAAGCGACTGGAGCAGACAAGACATTGGAATGGCTGATAGGAGGATCTCCTCTCGACGACGGCAGGAGAAGCAGGAGCAGGAGTGACGGAAGCGAGAGCGATATTCCCGGCGTGCGGCGATGCCATTTTTATCGTTGTCAGTTCCAGGTGAAAGATGCGGGCGGAGAGAGGGACTCGATCGGGTCGGGTTCGGATTGTACAGGCACAGGCACAGGCACAGGCGCAGGTGACGCTTTCCCTTTCCCCCAGATAATTCGATTCGCTTTCCTTCCCCGCAATCTAAAAGTGGAGCCTTTAGTTAAGTTCCAATGACTTATCTGGTGATCCACTTCTAGTGGTTCTCCTATCTTTTTCTCGCCTTTTGTCATTCGTTGTTTGGAGAGTCTTATCACGAGGCACGCTGAGTAATTTCACTATCGATGGGTCTGTTGATAGCGTATCTATACTGGAATCTTTATTCTCTATTCAATTCTCCTTTTGTTCAACTTTCGGTCCGATATATATCCCTCAAAGTCACTGTCAGTGGTGCTCCTCAGGTCTGTCTCCTCAGCGGTGTGGCGAGGTGACCCCCGTGGCAACCCCAAACCGGCATCGTTTCTAGTGCCTATCTCCGCACCCGGACCGCTAATCTGTATTCCGTCGGCTCCTCGGCCCATGACTTTTGAGATCATGAATTTTGACGGTTGGGATTGGCTTCACAATGTTAAAATTGGCACATCACGGATTTTTGATCCAACACTATTGGCTCTAACTAGAAGCCTATGTAACGGGAGACCGTCCGAATTTACAAGCTGACATGGTCTAACGAAGAGAAGAGAATTCCTACTACACCAAGCACTCCGGGACCTGTTCCGATACGTATCATTACATCAGTACATCTCGTAGCGCCAGCCGAGCTGAACCATCTCCTCGGTGACGCCGCCCTTGACAACCTTGGCAATCTCATCGGGGTCACCTGAATCCAGGCGCTTGTTCTCTCGGAGCACCAACCAGCGGTAAAACGTGATGGTACCGGCAAAGAGAAAGGCGCAGCCCATCAGTGTGCCGAATGCAGCGTAGAACTGAGGGGGAGCATAGTACAAGTATGAAGCCCAGATGTTGGATGTGCCACCGATGGCATTGACCAGGGCAGAAGCGGCCGCTCGCTTGGTGACGGGTCGTGCAAGATGGAGGTTGATTGTCTTGAAGAGGACGAGCTGAGGACCGACCGAAGCAAAGGGCAGAATCATCATTGAAAAGTAGCGGGCAGGAATGTTCTGAGTCGACATGGGGATGATGTACATGCCGATCGCAATGGCAATACATGCAAGAATGATGGGGTAAGCCGTGTTCTTGCGGTCAGAATACCACATGAGAACCCAGTAGACACCACCAGCAAGGACGTAAGGAGGTGCGGGGAGGAGCAGACTGACGGTTCGGTTGAAGTCGAGAGACGCGACGAGCGTGGGGAAGTAGTTGGCGATGGAACCCTGAGCCTGAGAAAGCATGTTGCAAAGGATGAGAAGCAGAAGCTTGGGATCCTTAAGGGCGCTGGTGAAGCCCTTCAGTGTACTCTCCTTCTCAGTACCCTCAGCGGCGCCAGCATCAGACTCGACACGCCAGACAGCGAGATCACGCTCAAGCTGGGAGAGGATTCGGCTGTTGTAGGGGAACTCGGGCATGAAGAAGGCACAGATGAAACCAATTCCAACTGTGGCAGCACCTTCAATGATGAAGAGCCACTGCCAGCCACGAATACCATGAGCACCATCAAGCTGGAAGATTCCGGCGGCAAAGAGACCACCGAACGCGTTACCGACTTGTTGGGCAATGTACAGACTGGCAATACGCTTTCCGAGCTCAGTCTTGGTGTACCAAGCAGAAAGGTAGTAGATGGCACCAGGGAAGAAGACAGCCTCAGAGACACCCAGAATGGCACGAACAGCCAATAGTTGTCCATAGGATTTGACAGCAGCTGTGCAAGCCGAGATGGAACCCCAGATGACAACAGCGCAGCAGATATACAAGCCCGGTCGAGCAATTCTCGAGATGATGAGGTTGCTAGGGATCTGGAAGGGGAGGTAACCGACGAAGAGGATCGAGATGGAGGTGGCGAATTGCTCGGTCGTCATGTTCAGGTCGTCAGTGATGCCCTGAAGTTTGGCAGCAGCCAAGTTCTGGCGATCGATGTAGTTGAGAATGTAGAGGATACCGATGATGGGAAGGATGATGAGATCGATTTTCCGAACGAGCTTCTTGTTCATGGCAGAGACTTCAGCTTCGCTGAGGTGGAGGAGGGACTCTGGCATCCGCTGGTATGCGGAGCTGGTGCCCTCGGCATGAGACGAAGCAGGCCGTTTGGCATCCTCCAGAGTGGCGGTCGTCATGATGACAAGTGTAGTTGGGTAAAGATATGTTGAAAAGGTGAAGGATGTTGTGAGAAGGAGTTTGTGAGTTGTCGTCGGGCAAGCGTGGTATATATCGACGAACGAGTCAAGAAGATAACGGGGCTTATCTCGCCCACTAGTCTCCTCCGCGTTATCTTGCCAACTCTAGGGAAAAGACGACGAATGATTGAGACTCTTTTACAAAAGGATCTTGATTTGTCGATACCCCATAATGGATCCCCTTTTTTCTAACGCCGAGCTGGAGAGAGAGAGAT